TATTGTAGAGTATATTATATTTTAATATTAATTTTTTTTATTTAAAAATATCAATACTTATTTTAAATTATAGATGGTTCGTACATAGCTATAGTGAAACATACACGACATGTGTTCCTATATGAGAGACCTGATGTCGAAGCAAAGTCCGCTAAACAAAGAATTATTGATCTTGATTGCCAAGCTTCTCCCATTATGGGTGTCGTTGCTACAAACAAATACTTGATTGTACTTTCGAAGGATAAATTATATCGTTTACAAATCCGTATGTGATAATTGTGCTATTCGTATTTTTGACCGGGATAAATAAAACAATTACAAACATTTTTTAATCGTGTATAATGATTGTATATGATAGACTGAAAAAAATCTAAAAACAGAAAAAACAAAAAATGTAAAATTTTAAACTTTTCTTTTTATTTAAAAAAATATATCTATAATTTGTTAAATATATTTTTAGTATTTGAAGCCAAAATATTGAAAAATTGTACACTATAAATAATTTTACACTATAATTTTATATGTTTATTTTGATTCATGGGGCAGAATAACGCTTTTCTCGACAAATGCGACTGCTTAATTTTAATGGACTAATCGTCATTCAAAGTTAATGGGAGGATCCCGTTCGCCTACAATCACAATTGCACACACTATTCACATTAGCTAGTATTCACTGCAATGAGAATATTTTATTTTTAAATTAGCCAATTAGCATGTGCGTATGCAATGTATGCAATTGGATCCCTCCCAAATGAATACTAAAGCCGAGAGCACATGAAAAACGTAAGACCGTAAAGCCCGTATCAACTTTGCAAGTCGATTCGACTGGCAACTCTGCCTATCAATAATGAATCAATCACAATAAAACTGATTCAATGTGATTGGTCCATTATTAATCGGCAGAGTTGGCAGTCGGGTCGGCTTGCAGAGTCAGTAGTTTGATACGGGCTTAAGACGTAATCAATAAGGAAACCGTAAGATTGGATTCGCTACTGGTCTTACAGTCTCTACCGTGATTGGGCAATCCACTTACTGATTATGTTTTATGACCTTACGTTTTTGTATGTGCCATGAGCTTTATATTTTTCTATGTGCTTCTAGCTTAAGCCTACGCCACACGATATCAGTGCCAGCAGAGAGAAACCTGAGAGAGGACATGACAACCCAAAACCTGTAACCGCAAATGCTACTGCTCTCTGACAAAGTGGATGTAAACTACATAGTAATGTCCACTTTTCTTTCGGTACATTGTCTACTTTTCAAGACTGGAGATGATAAATCGATTTTGGTTTATATACTCGTGTTATATGTACCGTAGCACGATTATATAAATCAAATAATAAGCATCGTGTACCGCAGATTTTAATTTCGGTTTGTACAAACATATAACACATCGGTCAATAAGTCCCCGGTCTAGCAAAGAAAACACAAGTGTTACATAAAAATTCGAATTTATTCATCAATATAGTTTCCTTTTAAGGCAATACAATCAGTCCAACGCCTTTCCAAACGTTCGATGCCGGTTTTGTAGAACGATTTTGGCTGACCCTCAAAATACGCATCAGTTTCGGCGATGACCTCCTCATCCGATCGAAATTTCTTCCCAGCGAGCATTTTTTTGAGCTCAGCGAATAGGAAATAGTCGCTGGGGGCCAAATCTGGCGAATACGGTGGGTGCGGGAGCAGCTGGAAGCCCAACTCGTTCAATTTAACCATCGTTGCCATCGATTGTTTTTGATCCACAGTGAGCAAACGCGGCACCCACTTCGAACACAGCTTCCGCATCGACAAATGATCGTGTAAAATGGTAAAAACACTTCCCTTGGATATCTTTACGATGTCAGCAATATCATCCAGCTTTAATTTACGGTCGGACAAAACCAATTTATGGACCTGCTTGATTTTTTCGGGGACAACTGCCTCATTTGGGCGACCAGAGCGGTGTGCATCGTCGGTGTCCGTACGACCGCGTTTAAAATCAGCATACCAGTCGATAATTGTTGATTTGCCTGGGGCAGAGGTGCCATAATGTTTGTCCAACCACTGTTTTGCCTCAACGGTGTTTTTTCCCATCAAAAAGCAGTGTTTAATGAGCACACGAAATTCCTTTTTTTCCATTGTTATGAAAATAACCAAATTAGCGTCACTAAAGCTTCAATAACTCACACAATAATGATCCGAATGACATATACATTTGACAGTACGCCTAAAAGGGTCTGTTCTTTCGAACCACTATGTACTTTTTGTGTTAGTAGCGCTCTCTATGTGTCAGACCGGGGACTTATTGACCGATGTGTTATATATGATGCGAGTATTTAATTAATCTTTTTAATGCATATTGTATCAATTTAGTACATCATTCTTTGAATACATTGTTAGAATTTAAATAATTTAATAGAAAGTTATTAGTTAGTATTCGCATCAAAAGTGCATGATGTAAACCAATTGGTCTGTTTGACTTGTTTACATTTTTTACACTTAAAATGAATTAGATATACATTTTGTGGCGACTCGCCACCAGAGGTCCAACGAGACTCGCTCGGATTCGCGAAAGCGCAGTCACGCGTAGTTCCTTTAAATAGGATAACAACCTAAATTGATTCCAGGGCGTCTAAGGTAGGGCTTACACTACATCGCCTTACTGATGAGTCTAGTAGTGTGGCCGAGACGAAACGTCACAGCCGATCAAACAGCTTCTAGTCTGGTGGCCTCCTTAGTGGACGAATTCCATTATTTCGTTTATAATATGTAGCCATCCGCTACAATTTGGCGCTGAAAAGAGAGAAAGCAAAGATGCTAAGTGTAAAAAGTGTAAGCAAGTCGAACAGACAATCCTAATGGATGCATTCAGTATTATAACTTAGAGATCCTTTAATCAGAGACTGATCATAGGATTTTGTTAAATTTCTTCGAGTGAGAAAGGAGTATAGGCCATCATCTCACTCCTCTACCAATAGCGATGTGTATATATTATGCATACACAGTATTGGTGGAGGAGTGAGATAGCCTATACTCCTTTCTTGCTCGAAGAAATTTGACGAAATCCTGATGGCCAATCTCTGATTAAAGAGCACTTTCCAATAGAGCCAAAAATATAGACCAAACAGATATAAGAGCTTACAGACTGAGCGTTCAGTGAGCGGTCGTGCTTCTGTATGCACCCATTGAGTCCGCAGAAGGCGCCTAATGTAAACTAGGTCAGTAGGAACCGGCTCACTAGAGTTGGTAACACTGAACTGACATTGTATCATCACACACACCCTACGTCAACTGTAAATAATAAAGATATATTAAACTTTTTTTGTAGCCTAAATAATTTTCCATTATATGTAATCTCGTGATCCAGTTGATACGGCGTGACACTGTGCGTTCTTCGGATTTTAGGTTCGTAATCCTGTGCGAGAACGGTTGGAATCTTGGCACAAAGATTATTTAATCTTATGAACATGGTAAGTGGGCAAAAACATGAATTTACTTTTGTTTGAATTTCAGTCGAGAAAATAATAAGCCAAGGTGATAAATAATTAAGGGTGATACTGATAAAAAAAAAGGGTAAATGTTAAGAAAACCCGGTCCACTCAAATTTTTATACAAGTATACTCAATTGATGCGTTTTTTTATGAAAATGAAAAATCTAACAAGAAAAAAGTATCGCTCTGTCCCGCGAACCGAGATATTTTAAGTTAAAGTTGACGACTATGAAAGTTAGGAAATCTGGAAAATCTTTCTAATCTAATGTGGACAATGAGATGTGTGGACAGTAACACTTGGGTTCAGGGCTACGCCGTCTACACATCCCACTGTCCACATGGGTTAGAACTCCGATAATTTGTTTTGAAGCAGTGTTGCGTGACCGTGACAGATTTTCTAACCTGCTAGTCATCAACTTTAACTTAAAATATCTCGGTTCGCGGAGCAGAGCAACACTTTTTTCTTGTAGATTGTTCATTTTCATAAGAAAACGCATCAATTGAATATATTTTTATCAAAATTTGAGTGGACCAAGGTCTTAACATTTACCAAAAAAAGTAACATTATTTGTATTTCTATTGCATATTTTATTTAATTTAGATGCACATGTATGTTGGAATAAATTATGTACATTAATACTTGGAGTGAACAATAACGCTGTCTTTAGTTATAAGATACATAAGGATTTATTTATTATAAGTTATTTAAACTTCATGTTTTTTTATGGAGTTTCTTCTATAATATTGTTCTAGGATGATGATGATCATTATCAAAGTGGATATGATGATCATTATCAAAGCAGTTCTTTTCCAAAGGATTTTGGATATGCACCGTTTGATGGTGAAACCGAGGGATCTATGGATCCACTAGCCGGAGAACAAAAGCCTAGAATACTTCTGATGGGTCTCAGACGGTACGGTTAAGTTCTTTGTGTTAAGATTCTCTACAAATTTGTCAAGATACTTATATCGATATCTTTTCCTTTTATTCTTTAGTAGCGGTAAGTCGTCGATACAAAAAGTGGTTTTTCACAAGATGTCACCCAACGAGACGCTGTTCTTAGAAAGTACAAATAAGATAATTAAAGACGATATAAGTAATTCGAGCTTTGTACAATTTCAAATATGGGACTTTCCTGGACAAATTGACTTCTTTGATCCTACCTTTGACAGTGACATGATATTTGGTGGTTGTGGAGCATTGGTATTTGTGATAGATGCACAGGATGATTACATGGAGGCACTTAATAAGCTTCATGCGACAGTCACAAAGGCAAACAAGGTTAATCAGGCCATCAAGTTTGAAGTCTTTATCCATAAAGTAGATGGATTGTCGGATGACTGTAAGATGGAAACGCAAAGGGACATACACACAAGGGCCAACGATGATTTAGCAGATGCTGGTAATAAAAAGATTTTGAGATAATTTATAGAATCAAGCACTGTTCCTACTTATTTTACATATCTTCTCTAGGGTGCGATCAAATACATTTGAGTTTTCATTTGACCTCAATATATGATCACAGTATATTTGAAGCATTTAGCAAAGTTGTTCAGAAGTTAATACCACAGCTGCCTACTTTAGAAAATTTACTTAATATACTCATATCAGTAAGAATAACATTTATCCTTTTCTCTTTTTTTTTGTAGCAAATTCTCTAGAATATTTATTTAATATAATTATATTTACAGAATTCAGCAATTGAGAAGGCATTTCTATTTGATGTTGTTTCAAAAATATATATAGCAACGGATAGCTCACCTGTTGATATGCAAAGTTA